TACGGCACCGACCGCCCGCTCCAGTACCCCCGCGTCGTCTACGGCTCCGAGGTCTTTGAGCTCAACGCCAACCTGCGCGACCGGGCCTACGAGCTGGCCGCGAGCGCCACGACGCTCGACGACGCAAGCGAGGCCCGCGCGCTGCGCGCGCTGTATCCGGCCCGGTCCGCGGCCGCCGGCCCTCCCGCGCTGGTCAGGTGCGACGTGACCACCAGTGACGTCTACTTTGTCGGGGACGCGCTCGCCGAGGCCTTTGACAAGACGACCAGGGTCTGGACCAACGGCACGGGCGCGTACTGCATGAGCGCGCAGGAAGACAATGCTATTCTGCAGGTCCTTGTGCGCGCCGCCGTCGCCCGCCGCGTCGATTTTGCCCGCGTCCTCGTCCTGCGCGCCGGCGCCAACTTTGACCGGCCCCCGCCTGGGATGCCCGTCGGCGACTTCATGGCCCAACCCGGCCAGGCAATTGCCGCACAAAATGTGTACCGTGCCGGCATTCGCGTCGTGCAGGGCATCGTCCGCGGCTGGGACGCCACGTTTGCCCGGGGCGTTGCTGCGGACAATTATATCGGTGACATTTTTGGCAGTCTCGGGGGAGAGCCCGACTTTGGCACGCCGGCGACGAGGCTGGACGCGCAGCGGCACAAGGCCGGTGAGCAGAGGCAGCGAAAGAGATGGGTGCAGAGGGACCGCCAGGCCGAGCCGGCGGCAGCACAGTACCAAGAACGGCAAAAGCGGCGGAATTGGCAAGAGCGAAGAGAGGCGACAATAGTGGCGAATGACAGGACATGAAACATTATTACCCGAACAAAATAGTACATGTACACAGCTGATATATACTCCCTTCTTGAAACGCAGATATTCATATTATGCCGACTAGATCTTCCTTCATAACTTCATGTCTTCATTAATTTACCATCAGCACTCAATGAAAAGAGATAAACTCGGCATGGCGGTATCACCGAGCCAGCCGATCTTGTACCACACATGAACGACTTGCGGAACTGTGAAAGGCGCACAATAAGCGACACCCAGATCCCTGGCCCTCGCATTCCCAACAAAGAAAGAAAAGCAGCATTTCTTCTCCCGACGTGGGACGGGTTTTGGAACATTCTACCAATCGGCCCATTCCTGACGCTGGCCATTGATGCAGAGAACATCCCAGCGGCTCGCCAGCCACAATGTGCCAAAGTGAAACGCGAGGAGCACGACGCCCATGCCACGGGCCTGAAAAAGCCCGCCAATGTGGTAGTGCCGGTCGCGCGGTCGGCTGCTGTGGCTCACGGGCGACGAAGCAAAGAGCAGCTCGAGCGTGGCGACAACAAGGAGCGGCGCGCCGACCTGGAGGCTCGCCACGTACGGCCAGCAGGGCCGTGCGAGCGTCGCCGCCTTGGCGATGAAGACGACCAGCTGGTAGGCGTACACGAGCGACTGCGTCTCGACGCCCAAGGCCCGGCCCCCGTAGTAGAGCGCGACTGAGACGCGGTGCTCAATCTCCCCCAAACGACTGCGTGGCGGCGGCAGCAGCAGCGGCGTGGTCGGCGTGCGCTGCTGGCGGAGGCGGTCCTGGGACAAGCGCCGTTGCGAGGGAGCATAGGCGTTCCTGGTAGTCGGCGTTGTAGATCCATCATCGTAGCCATTTCCGTCTCGATGAGACACTGTGAGGGATTGTTCAATCACCTGGCCATCAACGAGGCCGGACACCGCATCCGTTGCTGGATTCTCCGAGGCCACCCAGGTTTCTAAACCCTGATTCAGCCTAGAGCCTCGGTTGGTGTTTTGTTCCGCATCTAGATAACTGAGATTAGCGTACGAGGCGTTCGGAATCCACCCAGATGCACATACCTGGTATTGGAGTACCCGGCCCGGCTGGGGAGTCAAGACTCTGCACTCGGTTGGAGCGTATTGGCCCCAGCACCGGGTTGGCCCGATCCGGACGCCCCAGGGTGTCAAAGTTGCTATCACTCTTCATCGCGTGTAGCACCTCATTTGCGCTCGGTCTTTCCGCGGGGTCAAGCGACAGTAGCTTTTTGAGTAAGGCGTACAGCTTGAGGGGCAAGTCGGGCCTTTCACGACGCTCCTCCTTAAAGCCCTTCCAGTCTGTAATTTCGGCGCGCAGCAGCTCCACGTCCTCTAACTCCTCCTGGATAGCATTGGCACTGCGGTACGGCAGCCTGCCAAAGCACATAAAGTACAAAATCATGCCCAGCGAAAACATGTCCGACTTAGTGGTAAAGTTGCCAAAGCGGCCAGTCACGGGGTCCATCTTGAGAACCTCTGGGGCGCAATACGAAATGGTACCCGTAGAGCCAGTCGAGTTTCTGGCGGCATTCTCCATCTGCACCTCGCCAAAGTCACTGATCAAGCATCGAACGGTTGAGTTCTCCTGGTGTAGTAGACAATTGCTGGGTTTCAGGTCGCGGTGGATGTAATTGGCAGCGTGAAGATAGGCGACGCCAGACGTGACGTCTCTAAAGAGCGAGTAGATTTCCTCAAACGGGAGCTGCGACTTGCTCCCAGTCAGGTTTTTGGGCGGTTCGGGCTGGCCCTTGGACCGGCGACGCATCCGGGCTTTGAGCTCCTCCTTGGTGGCCTGCGTCGGCGCCTCTCCGACAACATGATACTGCAAGTCGCCACCGTTGCAGTATTGCTGCAAAATATATGCACACGCGACAGGCGGGCTAAACAGGCTCAGACGTACATCCTCCAGCCAGACATGGCGGAACGAAACCAGGTTCGGATGCGAGAGTTTTGCCAGCAGCTCAACCTCGACCAGGGCCTTTTCCAGCCATTCACCATCGTCGCCGACGGGCACTCGCTTACACGCAAAGTGACCAAGACTGACTCCGTTAATTTCGTGACGTACGAGCAGGACGACGCCCTTGCCGCCTCTCCCCAGGACACTCTCCTCTGTGAAGAAACTCTTGAAATAATTGGGGCTAAAGGCCTCGCGGCGGATCCGACTGCCCCTCCGTCGCGACGACGGCTCAGGGCGAAGGTCCTCGTCCTCGTCGTCTATGACCTCTGGTGATCGAAATCCGCCGGGGCCGGTGCTGTCGTAGCCGGGTCGCGGCAGCGACCGCACCGGACTCTGGGAGGCGCGTCCGGCTGCGGAGAGGAAGTTGTAGTTGCCCCGGCGCAGCATGCGAAAGTATTCCGGGTCGACAAAGGAGTCGCCAGCGTCCTCGTACGGCCGCTCGTAGCCGTGATTGGTCGCAGGGGCCGAGGTCTGCGGCAGCAGCTGGTGGCAGGTCGGACATGCCTGGCGGCGAATCTCGAGGCGCTGGGAGTCGGGATCTCGGACGACGACGGTGTTGCGATGGCGGCTAGAGCGGGTGTGTAGTGATTAGTTAGGTAGGCCTGAGAGGCGCGTGTCTCGAGGAGCCGGCCGGCAGTAGCATACAGAACGATTTCACGACCCTCGCGAGGGTGGTATGGAATCAGGGACATGACGTAGGCGGGTCGAAGCTACCTATAGCTCTAGCAAAGTGGTAGGCCACTGCCAGCCGAGCTCTCCGTCTAGGAGCAACAATTGCGCATCACCCAACCATTCGTTTATCTTGTATAGCAGGAAAGCGAGAAAATCTTGACGGCGGATGGAAATCGAGGAAGTCTCTCGAGGATGTTGCTGTTGAAGCGTTTGTGGCAAAAGGTGGGGAACCTGCAAGGCTGCTTTTATTTTATGCGTAATGAGGCGACTGGGTCCGCCATCAAGTGTTTGGCTACACCACCCCAAGATGCCTTCTATCATTCGTCGCTTGGTGTATCCACGAGTAAAATAGCTGTCGGTTCGACAATTCCGCCTTGCTATGTCAACACCGGCGGGCGGATCGAGTTGGCCCAGAAGGCGGTGTAATGGCACCTCCCTCCGACGTACGACAGGCTCGTGACTGGTGCCACGGCAAAAAGCTCCGATGCACGCGATAGCCGGAGAGCCGTTGCTGCATAGGCTGTGAAATGCCGAAGTCGACTGCATATTCAGCCCCAGAGCACGTCCGAATAGACTCCCCCATTTCTCTACCGGCGACGCCGTCCTGGGCGTCAAACGGCTCGCATAGCGGCTGGTTCGCTGGCTACCCTACATCAACACAAACGAACGAACATGCCGTCGCGGGATCTGCACAGTGCCCATGACGGCATCACCATTCTGCCGCAATTACTGAGAAAAATGGACGCCATATGGCGGGGTATGACGCCCGCTGGTGCATGCCATGTTTCGATAGAGGACATGGGGCGGTACCTGGAGTACATCTGACGCGACATTTATCGGCTCCGTCCTGGACCAAGTGCTCTCCGCCGCACAACAGCTTCAAAAGGCGTACTTGACGGCCATGACAAATGGTGCGGTGAAGGACGGCGCCGCCAGCGCAGGCGAGGCAGACACCCACTTCGACCACACCGCTCTCACCCTGCTGACTGCATGCCACACGGCTGCTCGGTATCCTTGGCGGCATTGCAAAGCATGGCAAGTTGTGTCTGGAAATGGCCAGTGCCGTACCACCGGCAGAGCGGCCGCAGTTTCTGCTGCCGCACATGCAGTTGGGCTGTTTTGTGGTGTCGCAGGACAGGATGGCGAGCATGCCGATTGCGATGCTCGTCGACCAGCTGCGAGGGCTCGTCCAGGAAGCATCACAACTGGGGGAAAATGTACGAAATGTAGCGAAAGAGACGAATGTGTCTTTAAAGCGCATGTTCGTGGTCCAGAATGCAGTGCTGCTTGAGCAGGCTTCCGCTGTTCTAACTGACTTTAAAGAGATGGATGACAGTTTCGCCAACATAGACTTGTTTGCGTCAAGATCCTGAGCCAAGGCAGCTAAATAATACTAAGAAGAAGCTTACATACATTTTTTCCACCTATAGATCATATCGTGCGGTCAAACCACACCAACGGGGTATCGGCCGCCTCGTCTCTCATGTCGATGCCGAATCTGACGGGGATCCCTCGGCTGTCTGCTTCAAACTGCGCCCTGTAGCATGCCATCGGACGCTTGACCATTGGGTAGTCGTCCATGTAGAGCCATGCAATCCAGTACTCACCAGACACGTGCTGCAAGCGATATGATAGCGGATTGCCGAAGCTGTTTCCCTTTTGCAGGCGCAACAGACACCCTCCGTCCAGCATGCTGAACGAGGTCGGTGCATTGTATGGCCCATGCCAGGCACAGTCGCGGGAGACAGAAATGGTGCCGTAGCCGTTGTTATGGTACGTGCCTAGGAAGTTTTCCATGGGAGCGCCAGCGTCTTGTGGCGCGCTGACGAGGTTCGGATAGTAGACTTGCGGGCATGTTTCGAGATGCTTCTCACTTGCGATTTTGTACTTGTCATACCTGAATAAGCGTGTTAGTGCATCTGTGGTGTGGCATGTACGGGCTCTTACACAGGTTGAGGGTCAAAACGTCTGCTCGGTTCCACCTTGAAGTAGTCGCTGAGAACTCTGGCCGTAACTGCATCTAGCGCAGCTAATGAATTGGTATTCATCATGGCAACATATGCAAACTGGCGAGTTGGCACAAAGAGCATAAAGGAGACCATCTGGTTGACATAGCCAGAGTGATACCATACAGGCTCATTCTCAAAGACACCAACGTTCCAGCCGAGGGCGTAGTTGACCGGCCCGGTAAAGGCCGCGTCCAAAACATCCACGCCCTCACCCACGACCATGTGCGACTTTTTCACCATTCCATGTCCCGCTTTCGACACGGGACCCGACTCGTCCAGCATGTGCCGGAGAAATCTCGCCCAGTCCTCCACCGACGAGATGGCCATGCCTGCGCCGGCGAGACTGGACTCGTCGTGCTGGGGCATGGGGTACAGTGTCTGCGTATCATTGTCCCAGTAAAAGGACGTGGCGAGGTGCTCGCTGTGGGCGCGCGCCTCGCCCGGGTGCAGGTAGGTGTGGACCATGCCCATTGGCCGCCACAGCCTGTCGCGCAAGAAGCAGGCGAGTGTCGTGTTGCTGAGCCGCTCGACGAGATGGCCGAGGGTGCCGTACATCATGTTGTTGTACTGCCACCGGGCGCGCGGCTCGGCGGACATGGGCAGGTCGCGAAAGCGACGGATCATGTCGGCGGTGTCGTTGTGATAGGGACCGGACAGGTCGTGGCGGGGGTACCCGGTCCGGTGGCAGAGGGCGTCGGTGACGGTGATGTGGTCCGTGGCCCATTGGTCGGAGAGTACGAACTCGGGCAGGAGCTCGGAAACTGGCGTGTCCCACGTCACAGGAGAGGAAGAGTTGGCCGTGTCGTCGACGATGATGGACAGCGCAGCGGCTGTATTCGACTTTGTCATGCTCCCGCAGAAGAATAGAGTAGACGGGACTACAGGACGGTGATCTTCTGACGAGTAGCCGTAGCCCTGTCAAGACAGATTAGACGAGACATTGGCGGCAGAAGTGCTTCATTGACAACTCACTTTGGCCCATGTATTGTTGCCATCTATAATCGAGATGGCCATGCCCGGCACATGCCCACTACTCATCTGGGCTCTCACAAACTCTTCGAATTCGGTTGTAATGATTGAATTGCTGCCCCATCCCGTCTCGACGACAGGCGCTGCAGGCGCGGTGGCGGCCAGAACGAGTTGCATGGCTAGCCTGACAGTCCAAGCTGCGTGACAGAACATGTCTACAGAGCCTCTCTTGCGAAGCACCGGAGCGTATGGAACAGGCGTGGTTTATTAACTCAGCAACCAAAGCCGATGCCGCCCCGTGCAAAAGGGCTGCCAAGTCGCACCGCATCGGCAACCATGACGGGCTGGAGGAATCGATATGCTGACAATATGGCTAAACGTGATTGGGACAATCTTCGCTGCGCTGCTAGGAGTATTCGTGGCACCAAGGCGGCTGAGTGCTTACTTGCAGGATGGATGGGTTACACCCGCTGCTTGTGGTTTATAGTTGGTACCTTATGTTGCCAACTTGAGCGCGTGTGGGTGTTGCGTTGCCTTTGCAGGGCGGCTCAGCCAGGAGGCTGCGTGCGCCCCGGGCGAACATGTTCAAGTGACACGCCATCGCTGGTTGGAAATGGTGGTATATAAATGTGATGATCGAAAAGCCGGGAAATAATCTCACGCGTTGTCGCAGCTCCCTCCACGGAAATGACAGCGGGAGTTCTGCTGGTAAGTGTGTCCTACTAAGCTACGAGTATTCAGACCTGTGAGGCGTCGATTCTAGCCAACTGAGATAAACTGTTTGTCGAAGGCAAAGCTGGGCACAAATTGGAGAGAGCCCAAGCCGGATCCCAGGGTACCATTGACCGAGCCGGTGAACCTGACCAGTAACAACATTCGCAACAGCGGAGCACTTAAAGGGACCAAGCGGGGTAGCTTCACATGTGGTAAAGGTAGAAAAAGTGATAGGTAAATTGAGACAATTGCCGTGGTGACGATGATACCTGGTGTGATAATGCTAGTTAGAAAGAAGCTATCTAGGTGCATGCATGGCTGAGTCAGCTAGTGATAGGCCACATTTACACAGGGTAGCACTAGAACAACGCGAAGGTCCAATCTTCTTGATTCCCCTTTTAAAAATAAAAAATAATATTTTTATCGATATATATATACGAGAAGGCTACCGCTGCCTTATGCCGACTCGATTGGTGGAACATTTAGCCTTCCCGATGTTAGCCGGTCTGTACCGTCAGGATCAGAATCTCCTTTCGCTCGTCGGACGTGGAATGATGCTCGGGAGTGGCGGGTGCCTCGCCATTCTCTTTGCCGTCTTCAATATACGACTTGGCAATGTGTTGTTAAAGCCCATTAGGCCGGTTGAATGGCGTTGAGCTAGACAGATGGGGCCAACTATCATGCTTCTGGCGAAGTTTGTTTGTCTGCACGGTATGCAGCATGACGCCTCGTAACGAAGGCTACTCGCCGTGATTCTGATCCAGGGCTGTCAAGCAGCCAATTTAAACAGCATAACTCAGTCAAAGCCCGCCATAAAATTTCGAGTAATGTTGGCCGTCGCGCCGTTCTAGCATTGCGCATGACTTGCCACTGCTTAGCCTGGTACTTCGGGTGTTATGCAAAGGCTACCATAATTTGTGTGAAAATCAGTATTCAATTCGTCAAGGTCACATTTTTACGCAGACCGGTGACTGGAAGACAGTTTTTCGCCCTCAGAATCGCAGCATAAGGTTCTCCAGTATATATCAGTGTTGTGGTCATGATATGAATAAGTGTCGCTGTGCGGGAAACACGTAGGCTTGCGCGCCTAGTTCTCATGCAGTGGACACACGACGTGATTCACGTATTCAGACCTGGACCACCTACGTAAAAATGCATCGTCAGGCATGCAAGTCATTCTCTGCGCTATATTCCGAGATAGGCATTGCCCTATTCCGAAACACACTGCGCAATGGATATGTGTACACTGGCTGAAATGGCATGATCTTAAACAGTCTGTGTAGATTCTTAGTATGCTGCTGGGGCACCTATCCATGAATAAGAGCGGGATATACACGCGCGTTATAGTATGCATTGGACTTTTCCAGAGCAATTCTAGCTCTTCTTGCGACTCATGGCTAGATGAAAGGAAGGACAGCACATGTAGTTGTACACAGCAAGTAGAGATCCAAAGATGGCATACGCCGGGTTAGGGATCGGCTGTATATAAGGTAGCCAACGCATGCCCTTCTCTGTTTGAGTCGTTCAACTCAGTCAGCTCATTCACTTCTTACTACGACCAGTCCTTCAACCTCATATCTTACTGTTCAAAAACAAAAGGACATTTTCAGACAACTATGAAAGCCGTTATCATTATCCTCGCCTCCCTCATGGGACATGCCCTTGCCGCACCGGCAAGCGGCAAGTGCAACCCAGGCAGCCGCCAGGATATCTGCCTCCAGGCGTCCAATAAGGTGTATTTCAAGTGCTTGGAAGCACGCCATCGCGATGAGACTCCGGAAGGCTTCAGCGAACGATGCAAAAAGGAGCGCGCCGACTCCAAGAAGGACTGCCTTGACGACCGGGGAGTGAACGAAACTATCCGCAAGAAAAAAGCTGAGTGTGCCAACTTAGGCGTTCGTGCTTCTATCCAGTGCCGGAAGGACAATGACAAGAAGTCGGTCGAGACTCGCGAGGACTGCGAAAAGAAGAAGAAAGACGTATCGGCGGCGTGCATCAAGGGCGAGCAGGTAAAGCCTGTCCAGGCGGAGCCGACAAATCCTTCCCAGGGAGGGGTGACAAAGCCTCCCAAGGACGAGACTGAAAAGCCTCCCCAGGAAGAGGTGACAAAGCCTCCCAAGGACGAGACGGAAAAGCCTCCCCAGGAAGTGACAGAGCCTACCCAGGAAGAGGTGACAAAGCCTACCCAAGAGCAGGCGACACCGAATGACCCGTCCGAGTCTGAGTCCACTAAGTCAAACCATTGATGCCTACTGCAAAGTAATGGAGGCTACAAGCAATGCTCGATACGACAAACAATTCTGTCTAGACGCCTTTAAGAGCTGCGGAAACCCAACCTCTCTTGACGACGCCAAGGCCAAGGACTGCGCGAACAAGATCATGTCGAAGGAGTTTTTAAGCCCCCTCCCTGTTGATTTTTAGGAGCAGCAGTCCGAGGTTGGGGCCGAGTCTGGTGACCAGCGGCCCGACAGTCCTGTCCCTATTATCCCGCAGAAGTGTGCTTAGCTAGTCTTTACAAAACTATAACGTCGTCCACCCACTTGGGAACACCCTTTTTACACCTAAAAAGTGATTTTGACAGGGTTTATACCCGTATTCGTACTAGTTGAGAAGTTGGTACTGCGTTCCACAACCAGCCATGACAAGGCTGACTACAGAAGGCGGCCCGCAGGGAGGCGGTTAAATGGCTAAGAGTAAGGGCAATTCTAGGTATATCGGAAATACAGGCACTGGAGCAAGTGCCAGGCGCTATTCCTGCACGCGCTATCGGTACCTAGACAATGTTGAGCGACGAATGGTTCAACAACAGGGGAGGCTACAATATTTTACGACGCGGCATCGCCAGTTAGTCTCTCGGCGATGAGCAGCCCCTCATAAGCACAAAAGTACAACCTTGCTATCATGACCAAGAACTAGGTCTATCTAGGTAGGATTGCAGCATTGGTAGTGGCTGGGTGTTGTAGAATAACCATAACTAATAATTGATAGCTTCTGTGATTTATCTTATTGGTATATTAGAGAGCGCCACCGCTGCTTCATGCTGACTCGATTTGTGGGATATTTCAGCCTCGTCCAGAGCCACAACAAGATCCCCGACGCCTTGCAGCTCGGCGCTGAAGTAGCATATAATGCCGCGCTTGGCACGCCCGACACTAGGCTCGAGCGCCCGGTTGATGATGATAGTTACTTCTAACGTAGACGGCGAGTTTTAACCAGAACGGGTTCTTTTGTGGGCGCCTCATGAAAAAATAATAATTTAAAAAGCAAACTCGGCATGAGTATTTAAGAATATAGAGAGTGTCGCATCATCTCACCAACGGAATCGTACCTAGACTAGCCTGGTGTCGGCTCCGCGTAAAGAGGAGCAGTTACGCGTATTCGTGCACAACTCGTCTCGGGCCTGCACAAGTTCCGTGTCCCTTCTCCACCCACTACATCTTCGTGCACAAATACAGCAACAAGCTGGGGAAGACATGCTCCTTATTCTTCTTCTTCCAAAACGCCACGCTATTTCCGCCACCGTCATTTCAACTAGCGCGCATTCATGTCGACTCGGCCGACAGACTGCTCGCCCGTGCACCAACTCGTGGGTATGAAACTAGTCCGTACGGCTAACGGGCACCATGTCCTACCCGGTCCCGCGGACGAAACCCCACGGAGCTGGGCTCGAGAAGCTGTACAGATGTGATGATCCCAAGGATAATCTGTCACCTCGCCTCCACTGTGTTAGCTGCGGCTGCGCGCCCCCCACCGAAAGGAAACCGACGGGTTCAGGTCTCGCATCTTCCCCATCCCCCCCAGGAATGTTTTGAACCAACTAGTGATGATGCACAACTCGGATGTTGACTGGTTTTAGCCTGACGTTCTAATGCACGAGAAAGCCCACCCACAACCATGTCTCCGCCTTGCCCATGGGGGTTGCTGTTCGTTAAATATTACGTCTTCTTTTAAATAAGGCGTTTGCAGCCGGGCCAGCCCTTTTCACCATCACGTCTCTCTTCCCCCGTTTGTGTGACCTCTCTTCTGACAAACTCGCCATACCCACCAGTCCATGTTCTGTTCGTTCATCTCGAGTCCGCGAAGAGCTCCCCATGAGCTTCTGACCACCAGGCATACCTTTTTCAGTGGCCCCGCGCCTTCCCCAGACAAACTCAAGGCGCCATTGCCTGAGGGCCGAGCCAAGCCTTGACGAGGAAGATCAAAAGTCGTTTTGGACGCGTGGGGGACGTACGAATAAAGCAGGATCCGGATCTTAGTAAGTTTGATCGGTTTGTCGGACGTAGGTTACTCGAGTGTATTGCGTTTGCTCACGCTGCCAACTCGCACCACGGCCGAGGCTGCAACCGCTCGAGATCTCAAACACCCCTCCGCAGAACATCACCGCCAAGACATTTCCTCATGGCATTGAAGTCCTAACCCCTTTCTCTTTCCCAATAGACACCCGATTCGAAGACGGTTTAAAAAACGTGAAAATTTTGTGTTTCGCGCCAGAGCCCCATGGCTACCAGCACTGATGCGGCCCCGGCCGAGAAGCGCCGCCTTCAGCCGTCCGCCGCGGAGCTCACCACCAGCAGCGATGACTCTGCCACTGAGGTGAACCTCGATGAGAAACCAGCTCCTCCTCTCCACGACACGATAGGCGGCAATACCCTCAAAGCAGCCGTCGAGCCCGTAACGTACGTGGAAAGCGTCCCAACCGGCGTCAACGCCGACAACATTGTCTTCTGGGACGGCGACGATGACCCGCACAATCCCTACAACTGGAAGAGCTGGGTCAAGGTGTTCAACTGCGTGCTTATAAGCGCCCTAACCTTTGTCACGCCTCTTGCCTCGTGTACGTTCGTTCCCTTGCCAAACACGTTGATTCACCTTTGCTGACAAGAAACCACACAGCCATGTTTGCGCCTGGCGTGCCCAGCTTGATGCGCGAGTTCAAGTCGTCGAGCGCCGAACTCGCCGCCTTTTGCGTCTCCGTCTACATTCTCGGCTTCGCCGCCGGTCCCATGATTTTCGCGCCTCTCTCGGAGCTCTACGGCCGCACGCGCGTCTACCACATTGCCAACGTCGGCTTCATCGGTCCGTCCCTCTCTCACCCACACCTCTCCACAAACACTAACAAAAACCACACAGCATTCATCATTGGCTGCGCCCTCGCGCCCTCGCTCAACGCCCTCATCGTCTTCCGCTTCCTCTCCGGCGTCTTTGGTTCCTGCCCCATCACCAACGGCGGCGGCTCCATCTCCGACATGATTATCCAGCAGAAGCGCGGCGCCGCCATGGCCGGCTTCTCCGTCGGCCCGCTGCTCGGGCCCATCATCGGCCCCGTCATCGGCGGCGTCGTCGCCGCCAAGCTCTCCTGGCGGTGGGTGTTTTGGATCCTCGCCATCCTGTCGGGCGTCCTCTCCGCGCTCTTCTTCTTCCTGTCCCGCGAGACGTATGCGCCCGTGCTCCTGCAGCGGAAAACCGAGCGCCTGCGCAAAGAGACGGGCAACGCGGCGCTCCGCTCCAAGCTCGACGCCGGACTCACCCCGCGCGCGCTCTTTACCCGCGCCATTCTCCGGCCGTTTAAGCTCCTCGCCTTCTCCCCCATCTGCACCATCTGCAACATCTTTGTCGGCGTCGCGTACGGATACCTGTACATTATGTTTACCAGCATCACGCCCCTGTTTCAGCAGCAGTACGGCTTTGACAGCATCCACGCCGGGCTGGCGTTTCTGGGCCTCGGTGTCGGATCCATGGCTGGCGTCGCGTACTTTTCCGTGGCGAGCGATCGGTACATCAAGAAGAAGGCGGCCGAGACGGGCGACGCCGACGTGGATGAGGAAATGGCGCGCAGACCGAGCGCCGTCGGCTCCGTCAAGCCCGAGTACCGCCTCCCGCCGCTGCGAGCCGGCGCCGTGCTGCTCCCCGTCGGCTTGTTCATCTACGGCTGGACGGCCCAGTACAAGGTCCACTGGATCGTGCCCATTATCGGCACCGCCATCATGGGCATTGGCAACTTGATCATCTTCATGGTACGTACTCGCCACTATCTCTTTGCACTGCCTCACCATCTCTATATGCCGCGTACTAAACATCTCCAGTCATTACAACTGTACCTCGTCGACACCTTTACCATTTACGCCGCCTCCGCCCTGGCCGCCAACTCGGTCGTGCGCTCCCTGCTCGGCGCCATCCTGCCGCTGGCCGGCGGGCCCATGTACGCCAAGCTCGGTCTGGGCTGGGGCAACAGCTTGCTGGCCTTTATCGCCGTGGCCCTGATTCCCGTGCCGTGGTTGTTTATGCGGTACGGCGAGTTCCTGCGCAAGAGATTTGCGATTGAGAACCTCTGAGATTCAAACAAAACAATGCTACGCATAGAGGTGGGAAGTGCAGTCGTTGTTTTGCCGTGGTTTGGAGAAACTGCATCATGACAGCCTATATACCAGGTAGTGCTTTACTTTACTTGCTTTGGCGTACGTTTAGCTGCTAGAAAATAGATACTAGAGCTTATTTCTTATTCAATATAATTACAGTCTTCAGGAAGCCCTATTTATTAAAAGCTTTATTTGGTATGAATTTATCAATTCATTGATTGTGCTATTTCATATGGAATACTAACAGACGCATTGTTACTGCTGGTGCCTGAGCCCTCCTCAGGTTTCTTCGACATGTCGTGCGAAGTTCTCTCTATACTTGTTTTCGTCAAATACTATCCTTCATTACGTTACAAAAGAAACCAAAAAAAACTCCATTTTTGTGTGCTTATTTCTGTCAAGGCAAAATTTGGACCTTTGGACCAGCCATTTACATCTCGCCGATGCCCAGGTGCTCGGGCTCGGCGCGGACGATGCGAAGAGTGTTGGTGTTGCCCATGCCGCCCTTCCAGCCCTGGACGACGACGACAGTGTCACCCATTGTCAGGATACCGAGCTGGAGAGCCTGGCTGACAGCCCACTTGATGCGCTTGTCCACATCCTCCTGCCAGTTGACCTTGGTAAAGTCGGGCTTCGCTTCGGGGGTGAGGAAGGGGTAGACACCACGGTAGAGATGAGCAAAGCGCGAGGTGGTGGCATTGCGGGTGACCATGAAGATGGGGCAGACGGGGCGGTACTTGGAGAGAAGACGAGCAGACTCGCCAGAGGTGGAGAGGACAATAATGCCACCGGCGCCCAGGTCGAGGGAGGCGCGGACAGCGGCCATAGCGCACGACTCGACGGTACGGACGGGGCGCTTGACGAGGCTGCACATCTCCTCAAAGTGAGAGACGTAGGGGATGGTGTTCTCGGCCTTGAGGCAGGCCTCGTGCATCTCGCTGACGGACTCGGCGGGATAGTTGCCCTTGGCGGTCTCGCCCGACAGCATGACGCAGTCAGCACCATCAGTGATGGCGTTGCCAACGTCGCTAATTTCGGCGCGGGTAGGGCGGGGGTTCTTGATCATGGACTCGAGCATCTGGGTAGCGCAGATGACGGGCTTGCCAGCCAGGTTGCACATGGCAATCATCTTCTTCTGAGCGGCAAAGACCTCGGCGGCGGGAATCTCGATGCCAAGATCACCACGGGCGACCATGACACCGTCCGTCTCGGCAAGAATCTCGGCGAAGTTGTTGAGGCCCTGGCGGTTCTCAATCTTGGCAATAATCTGGATGCCCTGGCCCTCGGGGCCGAGGATGGCACGGATGTCCTTGATGTCCTGGCCGGAGCGGATGAACGAGGCAAAGACCATGTCGACATTGTTCTTGACACCAAACTTGAGGTCGGCCTTGTCCTTGTCGGACAGGGCGGGGAGGTCGACATCGGTGTTGGGCAGGTTTACACCCTTGCGGGAGGAAATGAAGCCATTGTTGCGGGCGCGGGCCTGGATGGTCTGGTCGTCCTTGATGGCGAGGACGTCGAAGGCGAGAACACCATCGTCGACGTAGATGATACGGCCAGGCTGGATGACCTTGGTAATGTTCTTGTAGTCGACGTACCTGGGGGGTAGTTAGTGACTGGGGGTGACTGAAAGCGAGGGGAAGCTCATCCAAGCCCAGAGAGATCTCAGCTGGGGGGACGAGGGGGAGCTTACATGTTCTCGACGGAGCAGGCCGTCTTGTACTTGTCATCGGTGGTAATGTTGATGAGGGCGCCAGCAGCAATGGGCAGATCAGCGTCGTCTGTGGTGTTACCAGTTCGGATCTCGGGACCCTTGGTGTCGAGAGCAATGGCGCAAGGGCGTCCAGGGTGAGTGGCGACGGCCTGGCGGGCATTGTCAATGACGGACTGGTGGTACTCGTAGGAGCCGTGGGAGAAGTTCATGCGAACGACGTTGAGGCCGGCATCGCGGAGACGGTTGATGGCCTCGACCGAGTTGGTCTTGGGACCAATGGTGCAGATGATGGAAGAGCGGCGGTAGTTGTGCTGGGGGCTGTAGGCGGTGTCGAGGGACGAGAGCCACGCGAGGCGGCCGCCGCCGACGTCGAGATGGTCCTGAGCAGTAGCAGCCATGAGGGATACTGATCGTTGGCGTTTGGGAAGAGGCTGGGGCATGATGGAATGGAAGAAGGAGAAGAGGAAGGAAGAAAAAAAAAACTCAGAGAAGAGTAGGACGAGGAGAGAGATAATCAAGGAGCTGGAGGAGGGTCGAGCAAACCAAGCGGCTGGTGAGACGGGTTGGTGGAGGAGGAGAGGGGTGGATGGTGGGATGGTTGGTTGAGGAGGGGCGGCGAGTCGAGGGAAAAAAAAAAGCTGACCAGGGCAGCTTGGCTGGGGCAGCTTTTTGGCAGAAAGTGGGATGGATGCGGTGGAGGGGCAGGCAGAAGCTTGTAGGGAGAATGTAGCAGAGGTACGGATACTGTACGGATACCTGGATGAATGGCACCAATTAATGCAGCACGTTGCTGGGGGAAGCTCTGGTTGAGGGACGAGGGGTAATTTAGGTAGTAGGTAGAGTGTAGAGTCAGTCGCGCGTTTGGAGAGAGATTGTTTGACGTGGCGAGACGGGCTGTATGCTGCCAAGACGGGCTGATATTTGCGCGGTTGGATACAGGAATATACGTGGGATAATGTCTACTAGTTAACCTAGGTAGTTAATAGAATAGATGCTGCCTCGACAAAAAGAAGAACAAGTAACTATGAAAAACCCTGATGATGATGTTGGCTCGTTTCGCGCGATGGTGGCGGCGGTTTCGGTCAGGCTGCCCCGCTACAGCTGTTTCCTGTCGAGAGTTTAGCGCTAATAATAAGGTCCCCTGCACTGACAGCATCGCTGACAGGCATTTTTACAGGGGGGCATTTTGCTGGACGGCCGCAGCGCTAAAACCGCCCGAACCTCGCAGTGCCTTCTGCAAGCTAAAAAACCGCCAAAACAGAAAACAGAGGGGCCAACAGAGGGGCCAGCCCCGCTAATAGTAGGCCCGGCTTTCCTTATCTTTGCGCCTCCAGAAAATGAAAAGAAAGAAAAAAAACGTAAAAACTGCAAATCGCCCGTTTCTTATGGGTTGGGTGTCTTTTCCCTTCAGACGACAACTTGGGCTAGGTAAGAAAAAAATAAAGAAAAAATAGGGGTCTGCGGCCCGGGTTCTCTCCTCAAACTGGCCCCTTCCCTTGCTGCTTATTACGTCAACAAGCAATGCAGCTCTTGTTTCTGAATCTGTTGTCAGCCCTCTTTGTCGCCAGTGTGACGTTACGGGGGGTTCTTGTCTGTGTGTTGGCCTTTCTCCTGCCTCGACAACACACACACACACACACACACACACACACGTCGTCTTTGACTCGTAGACGGCCGCCAGCCACCCCTTCGCTCTGCGCCATTTCTTCCATGCCTCCCTCCCTGCCTCCCTCCAGTCGGTCCGGTCTGCTCAGACCTCTCGTTCTTATCTGCAACGCTACCACGCGAAATCCACACTACCGGTGCCCGGCGCCGGACCTGCCGCATCCTTGCACCGGAGCATCGGCCCGCCAACTAGTCTCACTCAGCCGCCATCTTTGAGGTATATCCCTCAACAAATTGATGCGGCATCGCCCACCCTTTCTAGCCCAGTGTCCCATTGTCCCATTCTCCGTCGTCGTGTTATCCAATGGCAAATGGTCCCCAGACCCCCCAGTTTCGCCGAACCATGGGCCACCTAGGACATATTATTTATTACTGGGGGCAGTTGGCCAACAGTCAGTTTTTGCACGGACACGAAATCTGGGTCCCGAGATCCCCCTATTGCCATGCATTGTGCAAGATTCGAGATGATATTACTCGTGGCAGCATGGTAATCGCGCCATTGGTACAGTCAGTGTCGTATCGTAGTAGTACAATGGTTGCTACCCTACCACGGTCAGAAAAGGGCAACATGAGAAGGCACTTGTTTCCATGTCTGTTTTCGAGTCATTTCATTTTTGCCGGCTTGCCTTTGAAATAGATGACGTATGTAGACCGCCAGACCGTTAAATCTACGATCGGCTGCTCTCCATTGTCTCCAGCGCCCTCGCTGGACCCCTGTTACCTGCTGTTTCACTACCAGTCACATAAAAGCTCGGCGCTTCCATTCCATTAATAGACTTGCTTGTTATTTATGCCACTCTGTTGAATTATGCATGGACGACGTCATCTTCCACTACACTGGCCATGACACGAAAGTGCCAACCATCTCTAGCACCACCGAAAAATCACTACGAGACTTTGCAAAGCTTGCTTCAATTCTGAGCTTCAACCGGTTATGCATTTTCGTTACTACTCTTATGCCACTATACGTAGGCTAGTGCCAAAGGGCTGCGAATAGCAAGACTCTTCTGATTTCCTGGCAGCCCCCCCTCTGTAAACGCGAGCTTGACTCCTCTGCGGAATAAGAGGCACTGACTGGAGCCACCATAGTGAAACATGCCGAGCTCTTCTCCCTTTTCGATACGCTGCGGCAAGGCTTGCGTAAATCTGGGAAGAATCTCGCACGAGGACACGTCAGCGATGCCAATGGCTAGAAAACAGACCAGTCCGACGGCATCGTCCGCCTGGATGAAGACGACGGCACGCGCTGCGACGTGGCTCAAATATACCAGATTATGAAGCGGCGGCCCGACAGGCGCACTACCGATTCCGTTTGTCGAACGCTCCGAAAAGTACGCGCCGTCCATCATGGCCGCATGGACGACTTGCCCCGAGACGGGCGCGCACCAGCGATGATAGGCTGTTGTTCTCAGCACCGACTGGTGGATGGTGCCGCCGACGAATTGCTCTGCCCACTCGTGGTGGTTGAGCATTTCGAAAATTGAGTAGTTTGCCTCCTTTAGCCAGAACTGATCGACCGCTTTTACGTCGGACCTGACGACAATCGGCTTGGACTCGCAGGAATTCACAACCCATTCGGGTCGATCGGGGTAGCCGACGGGGCGCAGCCTATCCATATCCCTAAACTTGCGAGTAAAGTAGTCGTCCCAGGAGCAGAATCCCCAGTGCATGGGGTCGCCATGAGGATCACACTCGAAAAGCTGCTCAAACGTGTACCGCTGGCTGCTATCGAGGTTGCCATCCCGCTCCACGGCAGCCACGGCCTCTGGACACAGCCAGTGTCCTGGGGCGGTCGTGATGACGCTTCGAGACGCATTCGTCTCGAGGAGCTCATCGCGCCACGCAGAAAGCATCTCCTTGAAGCTGGCATTGACGTCCGCATCGAGGAAGAAGGCGTGCCCGCTGGGCGTGCCCATCGGCCAGTCCAAGATGGCTTGGAAGGGGAGCCCCATGAGCCCGAGCCCGGCAGCAGACAGGCTCCAGGTTGGGGCCACCTCGGGGATAACGACACTGAGCAGCTCAAGCATGTGCTCGTATCCCCGGACGGGACTTTGCGGTGGCTGGCCTTGGCCGATGCGGTTGTATGGAACTTTGTTGGGTATTTCTTGGAACATGGCGGAAGCCCACATTCGGAGCCGCGGGGTGCTTTCGATAAGCGTTCTCAGCCGCGTGACGGAGGGGTGCGTCTTCGTAGGAGAGAAGCATCTGCGCGCGTCGACATTGCGAATAAAACTCTGTAGCCACCCGCCACGGTCCGAAATAGTTTCTACACATTGGCAATCCGGCGGAGGATTGAGCTGTGGGCAAGTAGATGTTGCTTCCAGAGTCATTTTGGAGGGTAACATACGGAGTGCAGGCAGAGACGCCCGTACAGAACTCGACTATTTTAAGATTGGAAAGGATGAAAAAGAGCGGCGTGAACGGGACTCGTACTCGAACTTTCTCATGCACCGTCAGCCGCCGGATTGCTCTTTACAGTTCCGAGGCGGCTGCACCTGTGTGTGCTTGCAGCATGCAGAACGCGGCGCCCCATTACAAGACCCTTGTTTTATTATTACTAAAAGCACAGTATCGGTTGCATCGGTGAAAGATACTGCAGAACTATAGGACACGTGCAAGTTTCGCACAGTTTGCCAAATTGCAGCTCTCCGCTTCACGCATTGGCTCGCCGCGATGGCTTCTTTATCTAAAGTCGCCTTGAGAAATCTGCGAATTCACTCAATGTTCGTTCCTGCTCTGAGCATGCGACTACTTGCCTACTAAAATTGTTTGTAGGGTTAAGCGGGACTCACTGATACAATCCGAGGACAGCAGGCAGTGACAGTGTCTGATTGCTTTGACTAAGATTCAGACAGGTGGTGAGACCTAATGTCTCAGTACTAGAGTATTTAATGAGACATGTCAGCAAGACCGCGCACCAAATTGGGGGTGCTCGGCAAATCATGAAGACGAACCCCTGGGTGCTAACGGTATTTAATTTCGCGTTTGCTAACGGATTATGTTCTGACGTGCAGGGACAAAAGCGATTTGGAGACAGGGGAGGCCAGGGTAACTAGCGAGCCTCAACGCGATACATACAATCAAGAAAATGCTGAATTCTACAGGGTAGATGAAACCTACTGCGATTCTGTATGGCGGACGGAGGAGTTATGTGAGTCTGCGATGGGCGAGTCAACGGGAGGTTCAATGTGTTGCACGTCAACTAAACCAACATTAGACACTTGTAGTACATTGACATGGAATGCCGTTGGATTTCAAGGTCGACTAAAGATGTAGTTCCGTGTATCATCTACCTGTCTGCACAGGTCCGTTCTGCAAGGTCATCGAACAATGACTGTCCAGTCGCCAGCAGCATCGCTTTCATCACCCTGTTCATAACCAATGGCCCTCGCCGAATCCGACCCCTGGCAAATAGCCACCTCCCGCACCTGCACCGCATCCGTCACGATGCGCTTCGCCCACTGCCACTTGCTCCGCATCGACCCCGTCACGTCATCCACGCTCGCCGCGTCGTCGGCGTCGAGTGCGCCGCCGCCGCCGCCGTCGGCCTCGCGGCAGCCCATGGTCCTGATCAGCACGGCATCCGGACACCGCTTCGGGTCCTGCGTGAAGATGCCGGCCACGTCGGTGACGAAGACGCAGCGCCGCACGGCGGGCATGCGCGCCGCGAGATGGTACACGAGCGCGTCGCCCGACAGGATCGTCGACCCCAGCGAGCGGTCCAGCACGGCGTCGCCAAACAGCAGCGGCACGAAGCCCGCGTCCAGCACCTGCCGCACGCGCCCCACCAGCCGCGCCCCCGACGCCTCCCCCACGAGCCCCCCGTCCGTTTCCACCGTGTCGTACGTGGACACGGACAGCACGGGCATGCCGCGGTCCGGCGCGTGCAGCCGCTGCAGCACGGCGAGGTGAAGCTCAAGCACGCGCTGGCGCGTGAGCGCCATGCCAAACTTGACGCGGTCGCCGGCCGCCTCGTCGCCGGCGGCGGCGGCGGTCCAGCCCCCCTTGACCTGGTACTTTTTCGCGGGCGGGTGCCCGAAACTGCCCGCGCCGTGGACGAGGACCAGACGCCGGCCGCTGGGACGCAGCACTTGGTGGTAGGCGTGCGCGATGCCGTCCATCAGCGCGTCGATGCTGGGCGAGAGCGTGTCGGGGTCGGACTTGTCGGTGATGGCCGCCCCGCCGAGCTTGACGACGACAATCGACATGGGAGCATCCGGCATCAAAGGCTGGAGAGGAGAAATGCGGTCGCTGAGGGATGGGCTGTTGTGCGGGAGCAGTGATGGGGGAAGCGAGCGCCTGCATGCGCGCATTCTATGTTGCGCTGCACGTGATGGTCGTGGAGCCTAATGCACGGCGTGCAGGATGTGATGCCCTCACGATGGCTGATCGACCAATAATAGCAGAGAAATACGTTCTAGAGTATCGCCAATTTAGCCATATAGAGGGAATTTCCAGAGCATACGCTCAAGTGGCAAAAAAAAACCCTATCCAACTACGTTCATTGTTCTCGTCACACGTATACATAATTCGTCAAACATCAACACTCGTTTCCTTGGCAGCCTGTGCCGCTGTCCACTCTTCATTGACAGTCCGGTAGTCTTCCACCCCATAGGATCCGAAAACCTCCTGGAAGACGCTGCGCTTCCTGTGTGTCTTGAGCCCGAGATCGCGCAGCAGCATGCCAATGTACGTGACCGTGTCAAAGACAAAACAAGGCGACTTGGAGCCCCAGTCGACCGGGTGCCGCCAGTGGCCGAACCGGTTGTACAGCACCGTCTGGTAGCGCAGCGCGCCGTAAGCGTCCGTGTCGGCGGCCACGGCCGAGGGATCGTTGTCCAGCGTGCCGTCCAGGAAGGCGCTGATCCACAGGCCGCCAACGTGCGCCGTCGTCATGGTGCTCAGGTTGTACATGAGCCCGGCAAACGCAATGTCGTGGTGCCGCAGCAGCCGCGCCGACTGCGGCGCCATGAAGCGGTACATCAGGTACCCCGTCCGCGGCCGGGGCGTGCTCGTCACGACGCCGTCCTGCTTCGTCACGGGCACGTAGTCGGGAAACCGCGGCTGGTCCCGGAGCATGGGCAGGCGGGCCAGGATCTCCGCGTCGGCGCGCCGCACCAGCTGCGCCTGCACGCCCGTGTCCGGATCCCACTCGCCGTCCGTGCGCGAGTGCGGCAGCCCGAGCTCCGCGTCGATGCCGTCGGGCAGGAACCGGATGCGCGGCGCCTGCTGCCAGCCGCCGTACGCCATCATGACGTCGGACGGGAAGGCGGTGCCGTCCGCGAGATGGACGGCGCCGGGGCTGAGCCTGGCAATCTCGCCGACGTGCACCCGGATCCGGCCGTCGCGGACCAGCGCCAGGAAGTCGTGCTCGTAGTTGAGGATGCCGAGACTGGTCGCCATGTACATGAGCGGCACCCGGGCCTTGAGCTTGGCCGTCTCGGGATGCTTGTCGAAGCCGACGAGCGCGAGCACGTCGGCGCTGATGATGCGCCACAGGGCTCGCACGGCGACACGGCCCAGCCGCGTGCCGTGCAGGAACCGCTGCACCCAGGAGAAGCCGTCGGTGTCGGACCAGATGGATGGGCTGAACCAGGTCATGATGCGCGTGTCTGGGGGGCGCGCGAGGGTGGGTTAGTTGGCAAGGCAGTGGTTGGACCACCGGGGGCCAGGATCACATACGGGCAAGCTTCTCGAGCCACAGTTTAAAGGGTGATACTCGGGACGTGCTGACCCAGCCCAGGCCGTGACCGGAAGCTGCCCACGCATCGAGTCAGCGACAAGTCCAAGGCCCATCTCCCCAAAGGTGATGGCTTACCGCGGATGACCCAGTTGACTGGCACGCCGTTGATGGCATACGAATAGGCCACATCCCAGGCAGACTTGCCCACCCCGTAGACGGTCGCGCTCTTTGCCGTTTGGAGCGTCTCGGCGTACTGCGCAAAGTCTTTGGCGTGGAAGATGGGACCCCCAAACGTGTCTTGGCCGGTAAAACTGGGCAGGATCGGATCCGAGACCAGACCCGTGGCGGTGATGAGACGACGGGTAAAGACCTTGGTCTGCAGCGCAGGAGTACCATCTGTATTATCTTGCTCTGTCTCGAGCGTGAGCACCCAGCCCCCTTGCTCCTGGTGCTCCGCGACGACGACCTTGGTGCTGAACTGGAGGAACCGGTCAATGCCGAAACGGGTCGCGTACGCCTTGAGATACGCATTGACCGTCTCGCCGGGAATATGGTCCTTGGCTGGCTCTAGCTGGGCGGCGGCGGCGGCAGCGGTGTCGAGCGGAAAGTCGGGGTACTCAAAGGTGCCCAGGAGATTGTTCGTCTTGAGGTTGGGGTAGAGCCGTTCTTCCGACCACGCGCCGCCGAGACAGGGGCGGGACTCGTAAATGACTAGCCTCTCGCCCGGATGGGTGACGTGATATTGTTTAGCGGAAGCTAAACCATAAATGCCTGTTCATTGTTGAGAGTCAGTTGTGATACAGAGTAATCTCCCCTCTCAAAATGAAGCCCCCTCCATCTGTGATGGCTTCGGGCGGCAGCGGGTGGCTGACGGTGAGGGATGGGCGGCCAGGGGGAGGAGAGAAGAGGATACGGATAGACGGGGGGACCGTACCACTGCCGATCACGACGCAGTCGAGCCTTTCCATGTTGGGACTGGGTCAGATGCCAACTTTTACTTGTTGCCGATGTCTTGGGATGATGCGACAACAGCAGCACAGACACAGACTTGCCAATTCAAAGTGTTTGACAGAAAGTGTTTTGGGGCATCGGGAATACTGACTAAGAATCGAGGGAAAATCAGGCTGCAGATCTGCATGCAGTGCCCGTACGGTCGCATATTCATATGAGACTTTATTTCAATAGCTGAAGCAGTGCCCCATGGGCTGTCATATTTTCGGAACTGAAAATGACGATAACCCGCAATGTGAAAAGAGTGGTAAGACTAATAATGAGGCATGCATGTCTGCATATTGACCTGGAGGGAGACTGGAGCCCATGTCTTATCCCATGATGCAACGTGCCAGCGCATTTGTTTGTTAAAAGGCGGTGCGTGTTACGCGAGGCGGACTGCATTTTCAGAAGAAAAGAAAGAAAAAAGAGGAAAAAGGAAGAAAAACCTCTCCTCTTGACAGACCGCTCACTTGTCCATGTAGGCTTCGAGGCCAACATTTGAGCTATTAATGTCCGAGTGACAGTGCTGCTACCGAGTGACTTGGGGCAAGAGAGTCTTTATCCTATTCTACTAGTTATGACTTCGTTGTAGTTACTCCGTACACAGGAAGGACATACCTGAAGCGGATATCTCGAGTCCCTGCGTGACCCTGGCAAGTCGTGTGGACATCAGGCCACCAAACTCCATGCCGGCAGAGACAACAAACAACCAGTCACTTGGGGCCAAGAGGGGCGCAAGCCACCAATGCCACCAGGGAGGCCTGTCAACCGCCCCTTGTCCAGTGTCGCGGTTGCGGCGGTTTTGCCACATCGAATGCGGACAACCGACAGCCTGCATAGGAGGTTGCCGCAGGGGCCGACGGGGCGAGCCGTGATGGTTGGTCATGGTTCGGCAATTATCACGACATGACGAAGAGGCATAAAATTCAGAAAATGATGCCATGATCAGCACTCGTGACGATCAAGCGAAATAGGGGAGACCAAGAAAAACACCAGTTATTAATCTAATCCGTATACCAAGATCAATCACCCCTTGGCCCCCAAGGGGCAGATGCAGCCCATGTCTATTTTCTTCTTCCTGGGGTAGGCTTGTCTCCCACTAATATGATTTCTGCGAGCCTATTCGCTCAGGGCTTCTCTTGGTTCCGGTTCGCATGTTCGGCACACCTGTACGGAGTTGTGATTACCAGTCATTATTGCAACTCCTCCTCCTCCCCCCCTTCGGGACTTTGTACTCCCTCCCCCTTCCGCATTCCAACTCAGTGCAACAACCAACTCGCAGCAAACAAAAATCGCAAAAGGTGGAAATAGGCCAGGCCAATGTTGCCTGCTACACCTTGACAGATCCTTCCCCCTTCGCACCAGCTGCTGCGAAATGAAACCGTGTGTTGGCGGTACCGCGCTGTCCCAGAGGCGTATACGATGCCCGCGTTCCGCCACGCCGATTTAGGAGCCGTAAGCGCTAGACACGACGAGACGCGAGGCATGGCGGCGATGCTGCCGAGGGCCGCCGCGGCGCAGGACACTTTTCAGGTCGAGGCGTGGGCTCTGCTCGCGACGGCGCTGACCGTGACGGCCCTGCGCACGGGTTTGAGGATATCGACCCTCGGCATTCGGCAGCTACGATGGGACGACTATCTCGTCTGTGTTGGCGCGGTTGGTTGCCCCCCCCTGAGATTTTGACAATTACCAAGATGCAGTGAACTCGATCAATTTCACGTTTTTCTTGCCGGGTTGTTTTTTGTTGCGGGATGAGGAATACATGGCTAACCATGGCATTAGCTCTTCTACGTGGCCGAGACGATATTGGCGTATTGTGTTGGCAAAATTGCCCACGGCCTTGCCAACAGCACCATGACGGACGAGCACAGGGCATCACTTTCCCCTGATGATGATGAATATCGACTTCGGTCAGTGAAGGATGCTCGTCGACCAGAATGGGACAAACTGACCCGCCGCAGCGTGATTGGCTCGCAGATTCAAATAGCAGGCTGGACGACATACGGAACGCTGCTCTGGGTATACAAGACCTGCATGCTGATATTTTACACACGATTGACCGTACGTGGAGAAGAAAGAGGGAACGCTGGAAACTGGCTAACCGGGCCTGAAAATAGTCTGGTCTGCACAAGAGCTACAAGAGGCAAATCATCTTTGGATTTGCACTGCTTGGCTCCACGTATATAATCCTCGCCGCGACAATATTCTTGTCCTGCCGGCCATTCCACAAATACTGGCAAATATATCCAGATCCAGGGAGTGAGTCCATTGGCCGGACTACCAAGGCGGGTGTGTGCATCGGCTGACATGTTCACGTCTAGATTCCTGCCAACCGGCGCTTTCGATCCAGATCATCTGGACGGCCCTCGCCCTCAACGCGTCGACCGATTTCTACCTCATGTCGATTCCGGTTCCCATGCTCTGGAAATCCGGCCTGAAGCTGTCCAAGAAGATTGCGTCGACGATATTATTCACTTCGGGCCTGTTCATCATTGTGTGCGCGCTGCTGCGGAGCGTCATGATTACCGTCGTCAGTAGCCCTTTCCCCATTTCCCTCGCCCCAAGCCTGAAAACCGTGAACCTTCAGTTGACACGAATTTTTCACCGCGCCAGGATCCCGTCAACGGCCCGCAAGCGGCCGGCGCGTGGAGCGTCCGCGAGTCCTTTGTGGCCACGGTGGTGACCAACATGCCCATCGTCTTCCCGCGGCTCAAGCTGCTCTTTGACCGGCACGTGGCGCCGATGCTGTCGCTGCGGTCGTCCAAGTCGGGCGGGCACTCGGCGACGGGGTTCCGGACGATTGGCGGCGGCGACGGGCAGGGCGGCGACGGGGGCGCGCGGCGCTTCCGCCGCCACCCGCCGCAGAGCGTCAACCCGCTGCCGACGACCAAGCTGACGACGGTGACGACGACGCTGACGGTGACGGAGAGCGCCGAGCAGCTCGTCGAGGACGAGGGCATCGAGCTGCAGAGTGGCGGCAAGTCCCCCGCACCGTCGGACAGTGCTGGAGCCACGGGGCCGCCGCAGGCTACGGGGGCGAGGGCGGCGGCACGCGACACCGAGGCTGCTGCAGCTGGTTGCAGCCAGCGGACTGGGCGAGGGCCATAATAAATAGCGAGCGCGTGCTATGGCGAGAAATTGACACTACTGCGAAACTCTACATTGCGCAAACCGCTACCCAGCGCCAGACACATGCTAGGTAAATTATGGGGACTTGGTGGCTGCTAGTGTGGCTGGGAAACGGAGTCGGCGTGTATGGCGGTACCGGTAAGCCTGCGATCGAACAAGGCAGGCAAGGCTACGGATCAATGAAGAAACATGGGCATGTACGGATAATGGGTCATTTATTTATAAGAATGAATGACATGTGGACGCGATCCCGTTGTTGAGGGGTGACTTACATATTGTGGCACGCCTTGGTAACGGGATCTCGAATGGCAATTTGATAGCATATTTAGATACATAATTGATCAATGACAGGCAAGGCCAAAACAGCCCATTCTGCTCTCACTACCATCCCTCCCCAGATCGGGCAAAGCGACCAGGGGAAATACGACCACCCGAGCAGAGTGTATTATGTGGTGGTGTGAATGCCCTGGTGCCTCGGCTGAAAGTTGGCTGGGCTCCCCGCCATGGCCTCTACCCTCGGGCGGGGCTTCGGTAATGTCAACTAGCCTGGCCAGCCTACAGGTCAACGGTGGCGCCGAGACGGCCACTATATATGCTCTTCTGGCCAAGGTTCTTTCTTTCGATTCGACGCGTTTGCTGTCATCTGCTTCCCTTTCCCTCCATCCCCCCTCCCCCGCGCCATCATACACACACAAAAACCAGCCCGTCCAATCATGGCGTCCACACAGCTCGACCTCGACGTGCTCATCGTCGGCGCGGGCATCTCGGGCATCAACGCCGCGTACCGTCTCCAGACCGACGGCCCAGCCAATAGCCGGTACGCCATCTTCGAGGCGCGCCACGACCTCGGCGGCACCTGGGACTTTTTCCGCTACCCGGGCATCCGCTCCGACTCGGACATTTACACCTTTGGCTTCTCGTGGAAGCCGTGGCACAAGCCCGAGACGGTCGCGCAGGGCGCCGACATCAAGAGCTACATGACCGAGGCCGTGCGCGAGACGGGCATCGACACGCACATCCGCTACCACCACCGCGTCGTCGCCGCCGACTGGCACTCCAAGGACCAGTGCTGGGAGGTCCGCTACGAGGTCGGCGACGGCGCCGCCGCCGCCGCCACCACCCAGACGCTCCGCACCCGCTTCATCCTCCTCGGCACCGGCTACTACGACTACGACACCCCCATGAAGGCCGCCATCCCGGGCATCGACAACTTTGCCGGCAAGGTCATCCACCCGCAGTTCTGGCCCGAGGACTACGACTACACGGACAAGCACATGGTCGTCATTGGCAGCGGCGCGACCGCCATCACCGTCGTGCCCGCCGTGTCCGCCCGCGTGCAGCACGTCACCATGCTGCAGCGCAGCCCGACGTACATCATGCCCATCCCGAAGCAGTCGCTCGCTGCGCGCTTCCTCTTCGCGCTGCTGCCGCGCTTCCTGGCCCACCGCCTGAACCGCTCGCTCTGGATCGCGCAGAGCTACGTCATGATTTACTTTTGCCGCCTGTTCCCCAACGTCGCGCGCGCCCTCATCCGCAGCGTCAACCGCCGGCTGCTGCCCAAGTCCGTGTCCATTGACCCGCACTTTTCGCCCGCGTACAAGCCGTGGCAGCAGCGGCTGTGCGCGTCCATGGACGGCGACATCTTTGCCGCCATCCGCTGCGGCAAGGCGAGCATCGTCACCGACCACATCGAGACCGTCACCGCCACGTCCATCAAGCTCAAGTCGGGCGCCGAGCTGCACCCGGACGTCATTGTCACGGCCACGGGGCTCGGCCTGCGCTTCGCCGGCGGCATGCAGATTTCGATTGACGGCGCGCCGTTTGACGTGACGCAAAAGTTCATCTACCGCGCCAGCATGCTCCAGGACCTGCCCAACCTCGTCTACGTCGTCGGCTACGAGAACGCCTCGTGGACGCTCGGCGCCGACTGCGCCGCAAAGGTGCTCGTCCGCGTCGTCAACGAGCTCAAGGCCGGCGGCAACACCTCGGCCACCCCGCGCCTCGCTAACCCCGACGCGATGCAGGTCAGGCCCCTGCTCAACCTCGGCTCCACGTACCTCCAAAAGGCCAACACCGTCTTCCCCAAGGGCGGCACCGGTGCCTGGGCACCGCGCAGCACGTACCTGGCTGACCTGTACAAGGCCACCTATGGCGATCTCAAGTCGGAAATGGAGATTGTATGAGAGAAAAAAAAAATAGAGTGTATTATCTGCTCCGTTCTGTCACCATTTCCTTTGTCTCTACAGAATACATCATTCCTTTATTTAGACGACGTCGATATACCAGGTTTATATACTTTTATGTTTCATTTTACTATAGCATGAATAATACAGTCATGAGGAATTTTGCGTTACCGTTTCAATATACTATATCATGAAGGATAAGTTCCCTGTTGACACTAGGCAGCCTCTCAATCTAAAAGGTGACGCGTGTGGTCATGCAAGGCGCACAGTTTAACATGTGAAAAGTGGTGGCTTGGGGAGGGGGATAACGAGATCAAGACTAACCGAGATTGGCCTTTACCCTAGATATTCTTCAACCAATTAAATCGCGTTGATCCATCTTACAGCCAATCAAAGTTCCCGTTTAGCAGCTGGTGCTGAGATGGCGCTGGCGCGATTGCCAGGAGGACAACATGTGATTACTAAAAAAAAAGATGCCCTCATTTGTTGAGACGGAGCTGACATCGTGGACAACCGAAACGGGCTTTAACAAGGACCAAGCCGTTCGGAAGACGGTGGTCAGCAAGGAGGTTGGGCACCGACTGAAACGTCCAAACAAGTACATATGAACTCGATGTACCTCGCTTGAAACGTCAGACAATTTTCGTCTCTTTCGCGCCGTCTCCGTCTCGGTACCGGCCAACGAAAAGAACCGGCGGACTCAGATAAGAAACGGACGCCATGGTCTACAAGCCATTTTGGAGACAAACGTAGAAACCACTACGAATATAAAATCGACGAGAACGATTTTAAATATAACCAAGATGACCAGTTTGTAGGGTCGCCTGTTCTTGGCGGCGCGCCTCACTCTCTTCTGCGCGGTGCATCCCTTGACCAAACCGCTTTTGGGTTGGGGTTGTTTCTGTTGTGGCGGGGACGATTCACATCGTTGACAAAAAATCAGTGCAGCGTCGCGGACACTGATGAGGTAATGCTTCCGTCTTGTGGCTTCCCCTCACCTCGTCTGAACTCCAGCGCGGGGTCGACGAGGCTTAGTGATCAACGGCAGGTTCTCCCATTCCTCGGCAATAATATATAGCTGAGCTACATGGGTGGAAAACGGACACGGAGTGGCAAGTCTGTGGAAACCATCCTGCCTGGCTCGCAAATCTTGATAACTAGGGGGTTTTGGCCGTCCTGTAGATCCGTATTGCCGGTATAAGATGCTAGGGAGTGCCGCTTTCGAGAAGAGATCGGATTGTGGCATCATTTTATAAACAGCTGCTTCCTCTCTAGGCACCACTTTGTTGAGTATCACCATGCCTGCTGCTATTCCGGTCATTACAGTCGTCTCCGGCCTGGCGGCGGCCGCCTACATGGTGGCGAGTAAATCGTCTGACAAGATGATCGGCGTTTCTGCCTTCATGGTGCTCTTTACCGTCCAATTCTTTGTCTGGGGTTTCTGGCGCATGTTCATCTACCCCTTCTTCATATCGCCTTTACGCCACCTGCCAACGCCTCCCGGTTGGCAACTGGGCATTGGGCACATCGGCGAAGGAATCAGTCGAGGTCTAGGCGTCGTCGGACGGGAACTGTAAGGAAAAAAAAGCTTTCGAAAAAAGAGACCCTGTGCTGATGCGTGTCAATTTCCTTTTCTAGCGTGGCGGATATTCCAAACGAAGGCCTTATTCGCGTGCTTGGCCCGTTTCACCAGGAAGTCCTGATCGCGACCTCGCCCCAGGTCATTGCCGAGGTCACCGTCGCCAAAGCGTACGACTTCGAAAAGCCGCAGTCCCTCCGCGACTCTTTCGGCCCGGTGCTCGGCCACGGGCTCGTCCTCCTCGAGGGGGCCGGCGCACAAGCTCCAGCGTCGCAACCTCATGCCGGCGTTTGCGTTTCGCCACATCAAGGACCTCTACCCGCTCTTCTGGCGCAAGGCCCGCGAGGTGGTGCAGGTCATGACGGAGCAGTGCGGTGCCGATGGCTGCGCCGACATTGAGGTCGAGCACTGGGCCGGGCGCGTGTCGCTGGACGTGATTGGCGTCGCGGCCATGGGGCGCGACTTTGGGGCGACGCACAACGAAAACGACCCCCTCGTGCGGACGTACATGAGCATCGCGACGCAGACGGCGCAGGACCGTTTCATGCTCGCCCTGGTGGACACGTTTGGCTCCATCATCCCCGGGTCTCTGCTGCTGAGCGCGCCGCTGCCACGGCTGATCGAGATCAAGCAGGCGGCGCAGCAGATCCGCACCGTCTGCGAGGACCTGATCCGCGCCAAGACGCAGAAGCTGCGGGACAGCAAGCTCGACGACGTGGACATTCTCTCCGTGGCGATCCGGTCGGGCGTGTTTAGCGAGGCGGAGCTCACGCACCACATGATGACGTTTCTCGGCGCCGGCCACGAGACGACCGCCTCGGCGCTGACCTTTGCCATTTACGCGCTGTGCTGCCGCCCAGAGGTGCAGACGCGGCTGCGCGACGAGGTGCGCGCCCACCTGCCGTCGGTGAACGACGACCGCGAGATTACGAGCCTCGAGGTGGACCGCCTGCCGTACCTGAGCGCCGTCATCAACGAGGCGCTGCGGCTGTACAGCCCCGTGCCGCAGACGATCCGCGAGGCGGTGCGCGACACGACCATCCAGGGCCAGCGGCTGCCGCGGGGCACGCGGCTGCTGCTCGTGCCGTGGGCCACCAACGCGGACGCGCTGCTCTGGGGCGCCGACAGCCACGCGTTCCGGCCGGAGCGGTGGCTGGTGGCCGGCGGCGACGACGGCGGCGCGGCGGCGACGGCCAAGGAGGCGGCGCTCGGCGGTGCCTCGACAAACTACGCCATGCTGTCGTTTCTGCACGGCCCGAGGAGCTGCATCGGCATGAGCTTCGCCAAGGGCGAGTTCGCGTGCCTGCTGGCGGCGTGGATTGGCCGCTTCGAGTTTGAGCTCAGGGACAAGGCCATGATGGACGAGGCGAATGTGACGTTTGAGCAGCTGATTACGTCCAAGATTAAGGGCGGCGTGCACGTACGGATGAGGGTGATTCCGGGTTACTGATAGTGTTTGGTTGGGAAATGGGGCGTGTTTGACATGTGGCAGTGCTCTTGAGGCTTGCCGAGGGTGGTACATGTGTACCACACAACGGAATTAGGCCAGTGATACCGATAGTGTAACGGCAACCAATTCCACAGAACAGAAATAATGATATGGCACAATGTTATTAAACGCAACTTTATGCATAACGTTTCTGTGATTACTGTGGCTGACATGTGGCTCTTTTTAGCGCTTGGTGGTGCTACGATATTACGAGGCCAATCTGTCACCTCGGTAATTTGTAGTTAAGAGGTATTCGTATCGACTGATGATTGAGCTATATTATCACAATATTGGTGATATATACATTGGCATGGCTTCCGAGTACTATGTATCCCACCGCACAATACCGCAGCAGATGAGTAGGACAAAGAACGGGTTCTCACTACGGAGCACTTTGGGCTTGTTACGCCGCACAAGGATGTAGAGCGCCACCGGACAAAGAAGCTCGCGATAGCCTCTGATTTTTGTCACGGTACACCGAGGGAACCTGACAGTTGTTAACCACGTTGGAAGAGGGCGCATCGTTTCTCGCCAGCCCCGTGAGCTCTCGCCATGTCGAGGACTACCGCCTTGAAGTACCTCTTTCGCAGCCGTTTCTTTCCCCAACCCCCCAAGCTGGCGATTTTATTCATTTGCGGCCCAATTCGCGGCCTACCTAACTCGGTAACTAGCGAACCACGTTCATGCTTCCCCCCTTGGACGATCCCATCAAGCCCAACGGCTTGGCAATCCGGCCCGGAGTAACAATACCAGATTCACAGTGACACCCGTAGCGGTGTAGCGGTGGCTACAGAGAGCATTTTTCAGCGGCGTAACCCCGCCGTTAGTGCGCCCAACTAGCGCCCCCCCTCTTCCATTGCCCGCTAAAAAAAGGCCCATCCATGTACCAGAATGCCCATCTGGCTTTGGGCTCTTTTCATATTTGCCCATGCTGGTTCCCCGCTGTTTCGCAGCTTCCCCATAACCGTGTTTGCCTGGTCAAGGAACGCATCATTTCCTCCTTCGTCACAACCACCGCCCGCCATTATCAATCCATCTGCAGGTTGGTAGGTTGGCTATTGAGCCTCATCTGTCTTATTCATCTTATTCATCTCAGTCTCATTCGTACAGCCGGTGCTTCAACGTCATTGTGGACGTGCGACCAGTTGTACCTTTGATTCCAAAGACAAATAGGACCCGACTTTCCCCATCATCATCCAACACGCCACCAATCCCACGAACGCATCCGCCGATTTCCATCCGTTACCGTCATCCGTGCTTACTGTTGCCATCAATCTCGCCTCATTCTTACCCACCAGGTTATATTGCCGTCATTTCCCACAACGACTATCCCACCCACGCCCTCCGCCGAGCCAAAGGCCAGATGGAGTGCCGCCGTCGACTGAGCTATGAATCCCACCTCACCCACCGCCAGCGCGGTCGTCCCCGGCAGTGTCCCGTCGGCCGCCTCGCCCGGCCCTGGTGGTTCCAGAAAGTCCTCCTTTTCCAGCCAGCGGGCGGTTAAAAGCCCTGAAGCCCAGCGACGGACGCACAACAAGTCGCCCTCCTCGAAGCCGCCCACGTCCCCCTCCTCCGCTCCGTCCTCGCGCGTCGTCTACGGTCCTGGGACTATTACCTGTCTGCCCGCCGAGCTCGGACGTCTGCGGCTGACGTCGCCGCTCATCGTCGTCAGCCCCTCGCGCATGGCCACAGCGCGCCACATCCAGGCGCTCATCATCCCCGACCTCGGCGCGCACATTCTCGACTCGGCCGTTGTCAACGTCCGGGCCCAGATCGTCGACGATGCCGTCGAGCGGGTTGCAGGACGGGACTGCGTCATCAGCGTCGGCGGCTCGTCCGCCGTGGGACTCGCCCGCGCTGTCAGCATCCGCAAAGCCATTCCGCACATTTGCATTCCCACCACGTATAGCGGCTCCGAGGTCCTCCATCTCTTCGACTGTGATGTGCCCATCTCGACCGGCCAACCGGATGGCGGTGCCGCGAGTGTGGCCGCGTCGAGACGCCCCAGCAGTAGCCGACGCAGCGTCGGCAGCCCGCCGAGTGATGGGAGGAGCCGCACGGGGGGCAGCAAACACAGCTCCAGACAAAGCGACGTGAGCGTCGCCAGTCGAGATGCGAAGCAGCGCGTCAAACCGGCCGTCATTATATACGACGAAGAGCTGACGGTTTCTGCCCCACAACGCATCCTCGTCCCCGCCAACGCCGCACGGCCAAGAGATGAAGCCCAAAGCCCTTCCTCCGAATGGACCTTTATGCAGCTGCCAGGAATCTAATGTTTTCATACTCCATCTCTTCATCATGTATCATTTCTTTCTCTGTCGGTTTTCATTTTGGGGAGCGCCGGAATGTCGGTAGAATGACACCTCGATTTCTTCTTGCTTTTTATGAACATGACTACTCTTATATCTTGCGTGCACAAAATAATGGGAGCGAATACAAAAGACCAACAACATGTTGAAATCAAGTCTATCGTCCGTATAGCGCCGTGGTATCGTATCTATTGTCAAAATATGCAAACATATAAACGTGTCAAGAGGTATCCTCTTTTTAGTCAAGTCCGCTGAAGCCCATGATGCCGTGCGCACCCATGGGCCCGAGCTTGCTGTTTTTCGCCTCCTTGCGCCGTTTCGCCCGTTGCTTCATCTCTGCAACAGCGTCCTCGTCGTCGCTGTCATCGTCATCCTCGCTGTCGCTTTCAGCCGCCCTTTTGGAGCTTTCAGCCTTGCCATCCGCCTCCACCTCGTGTTCATTATCATCTTCTTCCTCGTCTTCATCATCGTCATCATCTTCCTCCTCTTCGTTCTTGCTTGACTGCAGCTCTGACAGCTCCTCCCATACCTTGACAGTGCGGCCGCCAGCACTTATGAGTCGGTTCTCGCAATCAAACGACAGCGAGACCACGGCGTCGAGATCGTCATGTCTCAGGTTGATAGAGCGATCAACCTCGCGAGTAACGAGATTCACCACACGCAGACTGCCATCACCGACACCGCATACAACCTTTTGTCCTAGGCCGAGCTCCTTGGGAATGGCGACGACGCAGTCGATGCTCTCGCCTCCACCTTTACCCCCGTCAACAATAATTCGTTCTTGCTGATCGTCCCAGGCACCCTTGTCCCACAGCGTCAGAATGCCCGAGCCAGACCCAATGGCCATAATTCCGTTGCCCCTCATCTTCTTCGGCCCCAGCCCGTGCACGAAGCAGGCACCCAGGAGTTCATCCTCTTGGTCCTCGCTTCGGACGAGAACGCCGCGACGGACATCTGTGACAGCCAAAGTCGTCCCTCCCGTGCTGACCCATTGTTTGGAGAAGCCGCTGGTGCTCTCCTCGGTCGGCGGCAGCGGTGTGACAGACGATACGTAGTCGGCGTGGGGGAAGTGCGTCTGCGCCGGCTTCTTGCCAGGGCGGCCATCGCGAAGATCGATAATGTGTAGCGCGCCAGAGTCGGTTCCCAGCAGCAAGCTTTGGGGGTTTAGTACGTGTAACAATGTCGGCGCATCGGCGTTTTTGGTTGTGGTCGGGATGACCATTTTAGATATGACCTTGCCGTTCTCAGAGTCAAAGTGCTTGACAATGGCATCCGTGCCGGCCGAGTACATGGCTACGTTGACGTTAGCTAAAATCCTGTTCTGTCACTAGTAGTTCAAGTACATACCGCGGCCATCATGCGAGTAAGCCAAACAGCGACAGCTTCCCTTATGCCGCTTAGTTTCCCATGTTGTTTCCAGGTAACCTTTCCCATCGCTCAGCATGCTGGTATCTCCGTCCGCACTCTCATCAGAGGAGCTAGGCGGCAGGCGAAACGTCTGCACATGGCCATTCGAGAGACCAACGGTAAGCAGTGGCTCGGAGGGATGCAATGCGGTCGCGAACACATCCGCGCGGAGCGGTAGCGTGCAGAGGTTTTCAAACATGGTGGCAACCGCGTGAGAGAATTTTCTTCAATTACCAATGCCTTGTGTTTGATGGTTAAAGGTAATGCTATAATTCAACAGCAATTGGAAAGTTTGCTGCTCATAGCACGGCTCGAGTTCCTTCCTACCTGTTCGCCTAAGAGCTTGCCAGCTTTTTTTTCCAAAGCCGCCGAGCTCCGTTGCGGGCCGTCGTACTGTGCGAATACAGTATTTATACTTGAGGCACTGTATTGCCAGCCGCCTGCAAACGGGCAACGTTGACAAGGACTCTGCCGCTACCAGTCATAGCTCCCCCAAACAAGAGAGCCGCCTTTTATTTGAATCCTTGAATCCCAATTGATACAAACAATCAGGATGTTTGGGAAGTCGACAGCACAATTGTGGCTCATGTGCTTCCAGGCGCTTGCTATGGCTAGTGCACCGCGAGACTCGCCACGGTGCATCATGTATTTGACCGGGTGAGTTTGAGTGACCAACTCAAAAAACATGCATGCTGACGGAAAATAGGCAGCATGATGTTATACCCGAAAGCGCAGATTTGAGAAATGGCATAACTCATGTCATTCTCGCATTCATGCGCTCCGAGACCTTCAACATGGAACCGGGCCAAGTCGAATTCCCACTTTTCACCTCTGTAAACGAGGTGCGCCAGCGCTTTCCGTCCACCACCAAAGTGTTGGTTGCTATCGGAGGATGGGGAGATTCTGTGGGGTTTGAGGAAGCCGCAAAAGATGCGACAAGCCGAAGTCTATGGTCCTCGAATGTGAAGCAAATGATCGCGACGACGGGGGCAGATGGCATTGACATCGATTGGGAATATCCCGGGTAAGACCCATCATCTTGATCTGTATTCTTAGACTGACAGTATGATAGCGGTAACCGGGACGATTACAAGAGCATCCCCAATAGCCAGCGCGAATGGGAAGTGGATGCCTATCCTCTCCTTTTGCGTCAGCTCCGAGTGACATTGGGGAAAGATATCATCCTATCAATCGCTGTACCTGGGCTCGAGCGTGATTTAATGGCGTTTACAAGCGACACGGTTCCAAGAATCGTGGAGCAAGTCGATTTTATCAACATCATGACATATGACCTTATTAATCGCCGAGATACAGTGGTCAAACACCACAGCGGAATAGCAGACTCAAGAGCAGCCGTGCAACGCTATCTCGATCGAGGTGTGCCGAGAGCCAAGACTAACCTGGGGCTGGGGTATTATGTGAAATGGGTCATGACAGAAGACTGCAAGAAAGGGGATGATATTTTGCGGTGTCCCACGCAGTTACTGGAAGACCCGGAGACTGGCGACGATCTTGGCAGGATAGCCGCCTTCAGCTGGCATGACACGGTACCTGATGAGGTGGGCGAGTCATTCTCGAGGGCCCTTGCCGATGGCCAGTACTTTGAAGACGGAAGTTACGGATACTGGGACGAGCATGAGCGTCGCTGGTGGACATTCGACCCCCCACGGGTGATTGAGCGAAAGATGAAGGACTTGGTTGGATCGATGGGGCTTGGTGGGGTTTTCGCCTGGGGCTTGGGCGAGGATGCGAGCGACTTTACGAGGCTTGCAGCGACGGTCCAAGGTGTTCGTGCCTTGCTTAGCTCTGATGGAGGAAAAGATGAGCTTTGAAACAAGCACAGATTGGCATTGACAATGCTGTCATGCCCGACAACGCTGAGTTTTCCAGCCACCGTACGACAGCCACAATCAGAAAATTAATTGGCAGCAGCTTCTCGGTCAACCACGTGGAGGGATTGGAATGGAAAATCAAGCTTCATTCGAGAGTTAATCTGGCGCCGTCTTTTTAGTTACAAATCAGGCTAAGTGGTGAGGGAATAGACCAAGGTTAATCTGGCCGCCCGCAAATCATCAAGGGCAATTGAGACACGCCGCCGCCACACCAAAGCCATGGTCCCGCCTCTCCACGTTGATATCTCAAGCCACAAGTGCGCCACCAGGACCAGCCATGTGCCGAAAGCACAGGATAGTGTCTATGCATCAGCCGACTACCTGGTGGTGACTGAAATACAAACACCACGACCCATGAGACTGGCTTGCTAGCACAAATAAAAACTCAGGTAAGACCGGCAAGGCCCAGGAGGGTCTGGAGATATCCGCCTGAGCACAGCCAAGACGCAGTGTCGCAAGGAACGCTGGTGCTCTCCATTCTCCATAGAATCGGCTTTGGTTGCCCGAAAGCAACCCGAGAGCCTAGAGGTACCTGCGCATGCTTGCAGATGATGCCGGTTCCACTCATACGTTCAAAACGCTTGACCGACGTCAATCTGCCAAGCCGCCTCATGGGGCTGGTTTGGGGCGGGCTTGCCGGACTGGATGCAACCTTGCCAGTGCCTCGCCAGAAATGATCAACGTGCATGTCGTTGAGCCGAGACCGGCTGACGGCTATCTGGATAAGTAGCTGAGAGGCTGCTCTCCCCTCCTCGCGAGACTACGACCAGAAAACAGTCACTGTCCCTGTTAATACCTAGCGAGACACAGCCGACTCGCCATGCACGTCACCAACGCCCTCCTCGCCGCGCTTGCCGCCGTCGGCCCCGTCGCCGCCGTGCCCTGCTCGCCCTGGGTCGTCAAGCCCATCACCAAGATTGAGCTCGGCCCGCGCCCGTACTTTTTGGTCGAGAGCCTGCGCGCCGGCCCGCTCAAGGCCAAGCTCGCGTCGTGCACCGAAATGGACATGAAGCCGAGCACCTGGTCAATCGGGCACCGCGGCGGCGGCACCCTCCTCATCCCCGAGGAGTCACGCGAGTCCATCCTGGCGGGCGCGCGCATGGGCGCCGGCATCCAAGAGTGCGACGTGACCTTTACCAAGGACCGCGGCCTCGTCTGCCGCCACAGCCAGTGCGACCTGCACACCACCACCAACATTGTCACTGTGCCGGAGCTCAACGCAAAGTGCAAGACGCCGTTCCGTCCCGCTGCCAACGGCACCGCGGCCAAGGCCGAGTGCTGCACCAGCGACATCACCATCGCTGAGTACCAGTCGCTGTGCTCCAAGATGGACGGCTTCAACGCTTCGGCCACCACGCCGCAGGACTACCTGCATGGCACCCCGTCGTGGCGCTCCGACCTGTACGCCAGCTGCGCCAAGGTTATGACGCTGCAGGAGCACATTACGCTCGTCCGATCGCTCGGGCTGAAGTTCACCCCCGAGATCAAGACGCCCATGATCCCGATGCCGTTCCAGGGCAACTACACGCAGGAAATGTACGCCCAGCAGGTGGTTGACACTTTCCGGGCCAACGGCATCCCGCCGCAAGATGTATTCTTCCAGAGCTTCCTTTACGCCGACATTCTGTACTTGCTCAAGCACGAGCCCACCTTTGGCCAGCAGGCCGTCCTTCTCGATGAGACCGCCAGCATCGAGGCGTCCGTTGCCGCGCTCTCCACATACGCCCAGGACGGCGTCAAGATTGTCGCGCCTCCCCTGGGCTTCCTCGTTCGGGCCGACGGCGACAAGATCGTTCCCAGCCCGTACGCCATCAAGGCCAAGGAGCTCGGCCTGAAGATCATCACCTGGTCACTCGAGCGCTCGCCCCCCGTGGCGCAGATCAAGGCCAAGGGCGACTACTACTTTGACAGCGTCAAAGAACTTCTCAAGACAGACGGCGACGTGTACACTGTGCTCGACGTTCTCTGGCAGCAAGTCGGCGTGGCCGGCGTCTTTTCGGACTGGAGTGCCACGGCCACCTTTTACGCCAACTGTTTCGGCGTTGGCATCTAGACGCTGTAATGTGGCGTCATGCGACATATTGTGCATGAACTCTAGGATTGCTATTCTGATAGGACCAGCGACGAAGGGGATGGTGGAGATTTCCACATGTGATTTACGAGATTCGTTGTTGATTTACATATATGATTTCCGCAGCTTTTCAATGTGTTGCACTCCAGCAAGAGCAAACTCGGTCAGGCCGTGGTCTCCTCTCCAAGCTGGACCGAGATTCTGCTGGCCGCCTCAGTATATACGATCGGGGCCACCCTGCTGATGTTAGAAATCACTTAATACTTCTAGTGCACAGTTCTCTTACAGGACTGTATTTTAGGCAGATAGTTATTGACCATGCGTCACCTCATCCTCGTGTCGCAGCTCGTCGTCGACAATAGTGCGAGCACCCAGCTCGGCATTCTACCTGAAATTACAGCCTTTACACCACGTGGAATTCTACAATTTTGATGAATAAGTGCAATTATCTCCTGCCCAATCTGATTACTGAGTTTGGCGTTGCTATAGACTAACTAGATGGTGTTTTAGGGACTGTGGTACAAGAGAAATTGGCCAACTCAATTTTTAGAGATGGCTTCTCACGATAGCGAGGCTTTCATAGTGCTCATGAATCTTGTCAATGCCCTCCTTACGGCCCTCAAACACAAACTCGAGCGCCGCCAGCAGTGCGCCTCCAATGGACGCCTCGGCGTCCGCCGGCGCAATGTGACCCAGCTCCCCCCTGAGCGCCTCGGCGACTGGCGGCGGCAGCCCGGCGAGAAACGGGGCCGCCAGCGTCAGCGCGTCGGTAAACGTGCCGTGCGTCGCGTTGGCGAGCGCCAGCTCGACGGCCGGCCCGCGCAGGCGGGCCCAGAAGGCGTCCCACGAGGGGTCCGTGTCGCCGTGGCCGGCGCGGCCAAACTGCATCGTCGGCTTGTCGGCGCCAAAGCTGAGCACGGGTTCGCGGATGCCGCCGTCCATATTGACGGCGCCGCGCACGAGCGAGCCTGGCATGTTGGCGACGAGCTCCGAGGCGACGCCACCCAGGGAGTGGCCGACGGAGGCGACGCGGGTAAAGTCCACGGCAGACGGGTAGTGCGCGAGGAGGGAACGGCGGACGGCGCGGCTGTGCTGCAGCTGGGAGAGTACGAAGACGAGGTCCTGGCCGCGAACCTGGATGAATGGTTGTTTTGTGATTAGCGTCATCTGGGCAATGGGATCTGGGGGGAAGGGGGGGAGCAAACCTTGAGAAAGTGTTCGATCTCGGCCTCGGTGCCGTTGAACGCAGTGGCTTTGACAACGGAGCCGTCGGGAAACTCGACAACTTCGGCATCATAGGGGTGGTCGACAGTCACGACAATGTAGCCCTGGCTGGCGAGGTTCCGGGCCTTGACGCCGTACAAGCTGCGCGGGGGACCGACGCCCGTGTCAAAGAGGACGAGCGGGAAGCTGGCACGCGGTTTCTTGGCGCACAGCTTTTCCAGATCGCAGTACGTCACCGCGTACTTGGCAAACGTGTCGTTGGGTAGGCCGATCTGCGCGGCACCCTGGTCGTAGTAGGCGGCGACGGCGGGCGTCATGTACGGGAGCGTGCGCGGCGGGCACGGCTTGCTGCCGCGGCTGCTAATGTCCACCGGGAGGTAAGCGGACACGGGCACGCGGCGCTTCTGCGGCGTGGGGGCAAAGGGGTCCTGGCGGCTGTCGTCGGTGAGGACGAGCGTGCTGTAGCCGACGGCGTACGGGCCGCTGGGACCGGGCACGAGGAGCCCGGTGGCGGCCGAGGCTAGCGAGAGCAGAGTGAGGAGAAGAGGCATGATGAGAGATTGTAGTTGGTATGAAGTAGAGATGTGGAAAAGGGATTGACAGGTTGGAGAAGCTCGGTTCTTTTATAACCTGGACGACTGCTGCTCAGCGGTGGACCGAGATGAGGAGCTGAACGAGGCACATATCCCAAAGTGATCCTGTTCACGCGAAAATGACGCCGACACTGCCCACATTGTGGAACAAGGTGACCAGCTTCATCTTTTGCCCTTGGCCGTGACGGCGTTGCGGGCAGGACGCATCTTGGGCCGTCGGGCGCCCGAATTTGTTCTTCGGCCAATTCGAGAGCTCCGCACCGCGAGATGATTTCCCCATTGGGCTCGCCCGCGAAAAACGCCAAGAAAGGAGGAAAATGATACTAGACTTGATGGGGAGTTTTGACGTGCCGCTATATGGATACAACAAGCTTATTTTAGCATGCCGTCGGCAAGCCAATCCGCCACTAGTACCCAGGAGGTTACAAAGGTCGACGAGGAAAGGAAAGGACTGTTCCGACGCTCGCGTAATAGGCGCCGCAGGATGAAGCTCTTGCTGCTTTCGGCTGTTCTAGATTGACCATTAAGCGCCTCGTGCTGGACTTGATAATCTTGAGCTCTAGTCATGGTGTAGAAAGAGCGCCCTGCTCCATCTGTTCGATAAATCTTGTGCGGAAAATACTTGGCCTAGGTTTGAGGAACGCTTTTTGGCCCCGATTCCACGGCTGTTCAAGATTGGATTTCACGAAAAAACGAGCCAGTTCACACTGTGGTGACCGCCTCAGAACCGTTTACCCCCCACACTTGATCCCCGCGCCCATGGTTTAGAACAGCTCAACCACTGCCAAGACGTGCTTAGCAAAGCCTCATTTTTCTTCCCTGCCAAACGAACAACGCCAGAGACTCACAGCCCACCGTCTGCGTGTCAGGGGCGGATCTACTCACGCCAATAGCGCGCTCCAACTTGTCTCCACGAAGCGTAATGAAGGCAGTGCTCGTATGCTCCAACACGGCCCTCGTTCCGCGCGTCCGCCGCTGGTCCCCCAGAAGCCGCACCGGCTGCCTCACTTGCCGGTAAGCACCCTCCCCTGTTCTACCCCCTTCCGCAATCCCAATCCTCATCACCACCGCAAGCACGCGACGCATCAAATGCGACGAGGCGCATCCCATCTGCCAGCTCTGCCTCGCCAGCCGGCGGACATGCTGCTGGCCTGCCACCCCGCGGCCCGCGCCGCCGGTGCTGCCCGCGGGCGGCTCCGCGCAGGTCCTCGATTTACTGCGGTTGATCCCGCGCACGGCCCCGGGACTCGTCATGCGCGAGTACATTGGCGACGGCCTCAACATCACGCTGTCCATCAGCCACCGCGTGGCGTCGTACCTTTTTGAGCTGCCGGTGCGTGTCGGCCACTGCGCGGCGCTCGACGGCGCCGTGGCCTGTGTCGCGGCCGCGCTGCGCTGGCGCCATGGCAAGACGAGCGCCGAGGACGCATTGTCGACGCCGCACGTGCTGGCCTTGTATGGGCGGGCGCTGCAGGCGCTGAGGCGCGCGCTCGACGACGGAGACAGGGTCGCCTCGCCAGAGGTGCTCTGTGCTACCGAGCTGCTGTGCATCTTTGAGGTGAGTTCTTGCTTGTCTACTTGGGAGGCGGGTGACTAAAAAGAAACTGGTCTTGCGGTTCAGGCGCTGGCGAGAAATGAGATGACGGCGTATTATCAGCATGCAGCCGGCGCGGCCAAGCTGATTCAACATCGTGGTGCTACGCGCTTTACTACTGAGTTTGAAAAGTCGCTGCTCGCCGCGCGGTTTCCCAGTCTGGTAAGAAGACATCCCTCTGACGCATTCTACGACATCCTTACACGAATCCCATAGATTGTCGAATCCTTCTTCCGAGGCGAGCACCTGTTCCTCGCACAGGACAAGTGGCAACGCGCGCTGCAGCGGTGCATCTCGTGCAGTCCCACCGCGCCCGACCGTTCCGAGATTGCCATTTCGCTGTACCAAATCATCGCCCTCATCCCAGGCCTCCTCGCCGACGCCAAGTCCCTTCTCCAGCGCCGGGCCGCCGCGCCCGCCCCTCGTGCGGCCCTGCTCCGGCGCGCGCGCGGGCTGCGCACCCGCCTACTGCAGTGGC